CCTAGGGTATCCCTTGTAATCCTTTTTTGTGCTACGGGAAATAAGTACTACAAGCCCCTGGATTTCTGTTCGGGCACAGATTTCCACGCAATTCCGGAGAAATGTGTTCGAGAGGTTGGTGCCATCGTGATAGATTTAATATTTGGGGGTCAAGGGTGGCTTGCATGTAGATTTAAGGTGCAAGATTGGGTCCCAATCCCTTTCAGCACAGACATACAGCGGCGCCCACTGCTGTTTTGGCCACCTCCGCGACAAGTGCTGGCTGCTCGGCTTAATCAATAAAGTCACGCCATAAACGGCGATACTGAGCCAGTGATTTCGCAATGGTCCTGGACACTGTTGTGAAGGGATGACATTTCCTGGATACTCGGGATATCCGACCAATGAAATCTTCATCGGACCATGTACACCAGCCTGAGATAATGGTTAATGGTTCATTCAGCTCAGTATTTTGATGGGTCGTGTTGGAAGTGCACACACTATGTATTAGAACCTTTATGGCTCATAAACTTTGACAGGCAGCTCATGCTGTTTAGCACAGAAGAACAGCCCATCTGCAGTGGCCACTGCAGATCCAGTCTGGGTTCCACATAAAGCAGCAGGATGAATTAAAAGATCAGGGGGCCGTGCTTTAAAGAATGGGGCTCAAAATCAATCAAGCACATTGCTGAATGTAGCATGGAGGCATCAGATGCCCTTGCATATGTAGCTTGGGTCTTACACGGAAAAGCGGCCAACCACGTTGGGCCGATCTCTTGGCCAGGCACTCATATCCCTCCTGAGCATTTAGATCAAAGGGCCGTTGAACTGTTATCATTTTATACAATAATTAGATTAGAACGAAACCCGATTCAACAACAGCCCAGAGTCCAAAACTTTCCAACCGGCTTCCACTGCAGTCTCTGCCTCGGATCGGGTCAAGAAGAGCCCGGCCGAGTACAGAGTGCGAAAATGAAGGCCACAGCTTTGCAGGGTCCATCGCAAGAGGCGGAACATGTCAAGGTCAGCAGGATCCTGGAGATGCATGTAGGTTATACTAGGTCTACTGAATGTTGCCCCGAATTGTTTTAAAGAAGGAACAAACCTTATACAAAACATAATGCTTGGCCATGAAAGATGCGAGCGTGGTCTCATCAACCCTGCTAGTCAAGGTTTCCAACCAGGCGTTCATCAAAGACGCATCGTGGCCCTTTCCGCAGCCACTCGGGTACTGCTTCAACCTAGGCTTCGGCAGAATTGGCTGGACTATGGGTGATTGTAGGGTAGGGCTTTCAACATATACCCAAACCCTAAACCCTAAACCCTAAACCATATATAATTAAAACTATATAATGTACAACATGACCTTTCAATCCTGGAAACGACTCCGCCTTCAAAGTTTTCAAGCTGAACTCAGTGATTGATGTAGTTTTCCCCCTCTGCTTGCAGAATTCTTTGAACAGCAAAAATGCATGCTCCAGCGATTTGCTCAGGGATCCTTTGTTGAAAACTTTCACGCGCACAAGCAGAATCAGGGCACTGCCGCAGAGGTCCTTGCCCCATCCAACGATAGCATAGGTGTGAGCAGGATCAGGTCGGATAGCAGTAGGGTTGTCCCCAATCGTTTTCAGCTTGCGCAGAGGCGAGATTGTCTCCCAAAAAGGGTCTGGGATGGGGTCTGAGCTTTGAAGTTTGCGAAGCCGGCTATTGGCAGAGAAATTGTACCATTCCTTACATGCTCGCTCAACACACCAGCATAGCTTCGGAACCCTAAGCCGTAAACATTAAGCCGTAGACTAGCTTCAGAAAC